TTCCCTTAATTATTATTAATTGATTACTTACAAATACCAAAAGGAAGTCTAGTCATTAATTCATTTTTCCTGTTAGTTAAATATTTATCATGTAACATACACAACATAAGATGTAAATGCCAGATGTTTTATTAAACTAACCCCATTAAAACATACACAACATAAGATGTAAATGCCAGATAACCCCATGATATTGCCTGACTAATAGAATCTTGGGCAAAATATATGTTGGAAATCATGAAGATCTTCACTTCTTAACCCTTTTTATTCGTTTATTTTTATAATTATTTTTAAAATCATATTGGAAGCTGGCTATTTGTCAAAGATTTAGTCACATAAACTTGGAACGCTTTTAGATTAATTTGTATGAGCACTCTTATTTATTAACCAAATTGAATGGAATTCTGTAAGGACTTTTATTACATAGACACATGACATACAACACATAACATATATGAACATACACACACCAACAGAAAGTCTCATAATCTTTTGGAAAGTTCTTCATACTTTTTTTTTTCCTTAATAGAAGTTTGGAGCTTAAACCTTAGATACTTCTTACCTTAGGCTTTGTTAGAAAGAAGACAGTTTTTAAATGACCTTGAATACTTTTGGCAAACAAAGGATCTTTGGAACTAACAACTCCTGACATTTTAACCCCATAAAAGTGCAGGTCTTGAGTTTTTCTTGCATAGTATCTGCTCAAAAGCCAAAGAAACATGTTGAAATCCAGCCATTTATTTATCAGGACTGTCAGAAAAACAATTACGCAAATCAGTTTTAATCCGTTTAAGCTGAGTAAGAGAAAAGGGGTTTGTATCATAGGAGAATGAGGGATAGTACCAGTCTTAGCAGAAGTAGCATAAAAAGAATTAGAAGAAAATAGAGAAACCATCGGCTTTATAGAAGTTTGCTTATGTATTTTTTTTTTTTTATAATTTTCATATTGTGGAGCGTCAAGCTGTACGGGGTGTGAAACTGAGCCAGCAGCTGAATTCTTAGGAGGACGCTCTTTAGAAGACCTCCATTCTTTAGGTGGGGAGAGAATTTCTCTTTTGTAGGTGGTAGACTCTCTAACCCGGAAACTTCATTCTCCAGGGAATCTATCTGTTCTCTCTCTCTGTTTGATTCCAGCTTATTAGATGGAGTTTCTCCCCCAGATTCTGAAGTTAAAAAGATGAAATTACATAGGGACCATACAGGTAAAGGAACAGTTTCGCCTTGCTGATTAGCCCGCCTCAATGCTCGAATAACTACTTTCCACTGTTTATAAGTGAGAGCATTTTTTTTCAGAGGGAGTAAACCAATAGCAGTGTTTACTGATCAAATCAAAAAGTTCTTCAAAAGTAGTCTTTTTTACCTTACTCCTAGAGCTCTTGAGTAGAGTCTGTAATATTTGCATATAAGATTCATTCTTAGAAGTATTTCTCATCCTTACCCTGCACTGAACCCCAAAGGCCGAGTTACTGTGACTCAGGAATCCCTTCCGTCCTCTGACACTTGAAAAATGTTCTTTACTTCTTACAGCCCTTCCACTTTCATGTCCCCGTTCAGTCGCCAGATGTGAGAAATTCAGGGCTTGAAGGTAGGGTGTCACAAAGGACTGAGAAAAGAGAGGAGGAAAAGATTAAAGCAGGAGGCTAAAGCTCTCTTAGAGCAAAAGCAAAAATTGTGCCAGCGCGGAGCCCGTTGATTCCAAATTAAATCAGATAAGCAGTGGGTGAGTTTAGCTATAAGGAATAATGTACAATATACATGACTTTTTTTGTAGGTTATAATCCTGGCACAAGGTCGATAGCTATCATTAATTTAGTATTTAGACAGCATCTTGGCTTGTGGAATGTCGTTCAACATCTTGAGACACAGCTCATGCCTGGAGCTCCATCCGGTTGAGACACAGCCCATGCCTGGAGCTCCATCCAGTTGACCATGCAGTCACTGCGGCATTCCATCAGGGAATGAGGTTGCCTTCGACTCCCTCTTCCATTCTTTCCTTCTGGCCATCTCTCAGGTCTGGGCTGGTTTCTGTCTCCAACAGGTTCTAATATTCCCACCTCCTTGCCAGTCCTTTTTGTTTTCTGTTTTTGTTTTTTTTGCCAGCAGATATATATACTCACTGGAGAGAGACAGAGAGAGAGAGAGAAAGAGAGAGAGCACCTCCCAGGAGAGATGGCCACTCTACAATCCCTTCACCATTCTCTCAGGATTTCGAGCGTGCATGCACATGCACCTGGAGTGTTTTATAAGCGTGTCCAGGACTCAAACTGCATGCATGGCCACATGGGATTCAAGCTACCTTAGCCACCATGTCACCTACTCACCCTGTTTTTTTAGGTGTTTTTTTTGTTTTGTTTTTATAATAACCACCCTAATGGGTATGAAGTAGAAGATTAACTGTATTTTTGCTCATCATTCTTCCCAGGAGAGAGGAAATAATGAATCAAAATATATTTGTTGAATGTATAGATGAGTAGCAAGGAAATATAAGCTACTCGGGAATGATTTCAAGTTTGTTTATGAAGGGATGGGAAAAGATAGGGAAGTAGCTTGACGAGGACATAGAATTGATGATGAGAGAAACTGAGACACACAACTGTCTTGTAGGAAAGAATCAGTAGAGGAGTGCAGGTCCATGTTAGAACTTGAAGGTTTTTGAACTACTGAAACATACATAACTTTCGAGAAGATTTTTTAAAAAGATTTATGTATTAATTTTTTTGTTATTTTAAAAAATTTAACCAGAGAGACAGAGAGAGAAAGGGAAAATGAGAAGGCAAGCCTCAAGGTCCAGGACTTAAACCGCAGCTGGCCACGTGGGAATCCATTGCCTTAACCACCACACCACCTGCTGGCCCCAACTTTTGAGGAGGTTTTATTAGATTCTTACTGTTCTTCATGAGATTCTCAAAACAATTCCTTACTCCTCCCCCCAAAAAAAAATAACTATCTTGAAGGTAAAACTAAGCTCCTTTGCGTGTCATATGAGATCTTTTTGTTGGAGTTTTAGTTTGTTTAAATTTATTTCTTTCATTAAATAGAAAGACAAGACCTTAGTGGAGCCTAACACTAGAATCCTCTCCACCCCTTCCCAGCCAGCCAGGATCGTGGGCCCACACACCCAATGTGTGCAGGTTGAACTGGGAACTGAACCTGTGTTCTTTATGGACCCAGCATTGCTTGAGCAGTACGTTACTACTCTGCCACCGAATCTGCCCTCATGGGGTCTTTCGTTACCTAGCCTCTGCCTACACTCTTAAATCTGGCCATTTTCTTTCTCCACTCTGCCCGTTCAGCCTTCTAACTGTTGTGTGTGTGCGCTTCACCTTTGTGAGATTATCTACAGATTCCCGAATCATCTCGACCTCTCTTGTCTCTCTGCACAGTTCCTTCTACCTATCATGCCTCCCCCTCCTCATCTCCTCAAGCTCACTTGCTCGCTCGCTTGCTCTCTCTTTTTTTAACTCTTTAAAACCTGGTGCTAGGTGTACCTCTTCTGTATTCATTCTATGTCTCTCTCTTAATACTGACATTCTCTCACTATATTCATTGGTTTTCTTATGTCTTTTCCACTAGATTAGAAGGTTCTTAACAGGAATCATTTCATTTATCCTTATAATTCCAGTGCCTAAAGACACTTAATTCTTTAGTAAGAGAATTAATTAATTAATGGTCTAAAAAAGCAACTTGTGGATATGGTACCTTGTCCTAGTCCCTTCCGTGCTGCTAATGACAGAATACCTGCAACTGAGTAATTTATGAAGGGTCTTCAAAACGTTTATGAAGAATGTATATTATGAAAAAATACATGCACTTCAAAAATGTTTTTACACCGAAATAAACATGTACTCTAATTCTACTTTTCTACAAACTTTCTGAAGTCCTCTCTTATAAAGAACAGATCATTTATTCCGTACACTTCTGGAGGCTGGACAGTCCGATATTGAGGAGCCAGAATTTGGCAGAAGCATTCTTCTGCTTTAGACAGAAGGGCAAGAGAGAGTGCATGGGTGCAAGGGAGAGAGAGACCCTAGGAGAGTATCACAGAATCAGTAGTTTCACATTAACTGAGGAGAAGAGAAGGGGACCAAACTCATCCTTTCATCAGGAGCGGATCCCCATGGTAACCAGCCTCCTCCTGAGACAATAGCATTAATCCTTCCTGCGGGCAGAGCTGTCAAGGCCTAATCACCTCTTAAAGGTGTTGCATAGTGGATTAAGTTTCCAACACTTGCCTTTTGGGGGGCACATGTAAGCCATAGCTGTATATGATCAACTACCTTCCAGCTTTGGAACTTCTCTCCCAAGGATTTGAGCACTTAACTCCTTGAGTTGGAATCAGCTCATTCTCTCCCCAGCTCCTTTTCTCTGTTCTCTTGCAGATGTCTCATCATTTGCATTTCTTCTGTCCTGCTGCTTTGCGACCATGGTGGGGGCAGGAGGAGGGGGTATGAATGGTTAGAACATCTCTGTATAATATAGAGTTACTTGGGAAAGGATGTTAGAGAGAAGCTAGTCTAGGGTTTTGGTGTTGGGGTCATTGTCATTCTAGCCTGACTCTGAATTTTCCCCTTTTTTGAGCCTAGTTTTTCTTTTTATGAGTAAAATGAAGTTTTCCCAGTATCTGCTGTTCAGAGAATCTCTGTTGGTAACCATTTGATCTTGGGAGGGTAGGGAGATTTCAAATAAAGATGTCGAGAGCTGTTTGGTATGGAAGAAGTACATCCATAACAGGCAGACATCAATGTTGACCTATTTTCTGGAGATCAAATTGAAAAAGCTGAAGTATTACATTCAAAATGTACCTCGACCCAGCCCTGGGTTCTTTGCACACTGAGGTGCTTATTTTAAGCATGGATTGCTTGAAATGGCCTCATTATGCATTTGGGAGCTTCATTTGGGATTTACTAACTGTGAGATCTTTGGGGGAGTTCCCTGCTCACTCATCAAGAGTGATCCCACAGTTAACGTGAAACTGTCCTGATCTAGTGATACTCTCCTAGGGTGTTACCCTGACGGACCTTCAAGAAGCAGAAAGGACTTTCAGCCGGTCGAGGGCTGAGAGGCAAGCTCAAGAGCAGCTCAGTGAGAAGCCCCAAGACGCTGCAGGACTTGAAGGAAGCACTGAGGAGCATGAGTCCTCAGCAGCCCCAGCAAAGGAAGCCGGGGAGGACCAGCAACCCTGGGGCCGGAGTCCAAGTGAAGAGGTGAGCTCATTTTCCCTGGCATGCACTGTGCTAAAAGCAGGGTGATTCTTTTGGGGAATCTTTTCCTGACTGATAATTCAAGTATTGTATTCCACCTTGCAGTGGACAACTCATAGAAAGCACTGTTTCTAGCTGTTTGTAGTTGCAAATCTGTATAACTGAAAGACTAAGGTGTCCTTCTTTAAGTGACTGTATTTTACCTCTGAGAGTTAATTAATGCTTTTGAGTAAATGTCTTTCTGTTCTAAGAGAGATAAGAGTATAATGAAGCACAAATAAAAATATAAAGATTTTTGAGGGTTTACTTTATGCCAGACACTATTGTAAGTATTTCATATGCATTAATTCATTTAACCCTCAAAACAACTCTCAGAGGTAGATAATACTCTTCATATTTTATGTTTGAGAAAATAGTGTCACAGGTCAAGTAACTTGCCCAGCATTTCACATAGCTAAGAAGTAGTTCAGTGGGCCTCCCCACAGCCTAATGGTTAAGGGAACTGAATTTCGTGTGGCAGACCTCACAGTTCAGATCCCAGCCCTGGCAGCTCAAGACACATGTCAGATGCTTGTGCATGTCTACCCAACATCATGACGAAATGTAGGAGAAGGTATGACCACACCCCACTGGGAGGTTGCCCCCCCACTTCCATCCTCTGAGGGGAAAAAAATAGTTAAGCAAGATTTGGACGTAGTCAGTCCGACTGCACAGCCTGCACCCTTAACTGCTAGTGTATCGTTCTCCAAACTCCTGCAAACCTCAGAGCTTACAGAGCAACCCTGGGCATCCTTGTTAGGGCAGACATTTGATTTCTGTTCCACTCCTCCACTAGAGGGACTTGAGGGAAGCACTGAGGAGCATGAGCCCTCAGCAGCCCCAGCAAAGAACCTGGGGAGGGCCAGCAGCCTGGGAGGGCCAGCAGATGAAGAGGTGAGCTCATTTTCACTGGCACACACTGTGCTAAAAGGGCAAGCGTCACTCCTAGTTATAAGACGATTCCAGTCACAACTGTCCTCTCTGTGTATTACCATTACCACTCCTTTTTATTATCAAAGGTGTCCCGGTTTGAACTGATAAAGTTTATGATCACGATAGTCAAATGGAAAGGAATCCCCTTTTTACTCTCTGAATAGCTACCTTACATTAAGATTCTGTTGTGTATTTTATTTGTTTTAAGCCACTACTTCTTGAGTATTTATTACCAAGTGTTGTTATAAGCACCTAATTCACATTATTTCATTTAATCCTCGCAATCCTCTCTGAGGAATGTATGATCCCTGTTTTGTAGATCAGAAGGCTGAGGCCCAGATATATTAAGTAACTTACTCAAGGCCACTCAGCTAGTAAATTAGAAGTTGAACCACATTTTTTAAAATTCCAAAGCTTGCTGTACTTTATTGCTTCTGTTTCTATAATTTGTAAACTAAGAAAGATTGTGTAAACTTACAAACTTAATGTGTAGTAAAAATTTACCTGTCTCTGCTTTTTCAGTAAACCAAGTGAAGGTTTATTGTCAGGCTCTTCTGTCCTAACTCTCAAGGAGGAAAATATTCCAAGGGGAAAATGGAAATGTTTTTTAAAATTTCAATGAGCCAGGTTGTGGAAGTTTAGTAGAATATTCAGTAATTAGTAGCATGTCCAGATTGGTTTGTCCTCAGATGACTTCTACATTCTGCTTCTTTATATTCCCAAGCTTTTTATTTTCCCATATAAACCATGCTTTTCAGTACTCTATCTTAAAAAGGCCATTATTTTTTCCATTTCATTCCAATATCAGATACACTTTTGTTACTGTGGTTGATGCTTTCGGATGTCCTTCAGCAGTTTAGGAATAATTTGCCTGGACTGCTAGGCATGTGTTGGTACTTGCACAGTAGGGGTCTAGAAGATGTTTTCTTCTGGCTAATTAACTACTTTAGTCAACTCAGTAGCTGTCTGTCTACTTAAATCTATTTTATTCATGATAGAGAGCACACATGTGCGTACATGAGAGAGTCAGAGAGACAGGCAGCACCCTTAACAGGATCTTGTCACACCGCATCTCCTTCCCCCAGCCTTCCAGCTTGTCAGGATCTTGGGCAGCCGTGTACACGCTGCATGTTTCATGTGGACCAGAGGCCCGATTCCGCCATGGGCCATGTGGTTTCCAGTGCTACAGCTCAGCAGACCACTACCTGTGCCTTGGAGGCTGGGCCTCAATAGCTACTTATTGAGCAGCAGCTACAAATAACTCTCTTACTATGGAAAATCCCATTTTGAATAAACCTATTCATTTTCTTTGGGGGGGTCTGACCTCTGACATCTCATCCTGTGGATTATTTCCAGCCTGTCTATCGTCGCCTGAGGTGTCCAGCTCAGCCAGACAAACCCACCACACCTGTGTCTCCTTCTGCATCAAGACCCTCACTATATACCAGCTCACATCTGCTGTGGACAAGTAGACCTTCAGTCCCCACTTCTGAGAGTTCAGAGACCACCACAGACACCACAGCCGCAAAGGACATGGACAAAAACGGTACGTAGGGCTTCGAAAATGCAAGCTGCTTCCCAGTGCACATGATCCAAATTCTTAAGATCCATACTTTGTTTTCCTGTGGCCAGAGAGTGAAGAAGCAGATTTGGAGGATCAGTCCTCTAATAGGCTGTCCATCCGAGAGAGGAGGCGGCCCAAGGAACGGCGAAGAGGCACGGGCATCAACTTCTGGACAAAGGATGTAAGTGGATTGGTCTCTGTGGGCATTTCATGGTACCCTTTGCTGCCGTCTTCTCTGTTGAGTTCAGAAAGAGGAGTCCCACATGGTGCCGTGCATCTTGCAGGTTGTCAAGAAGTATTACATGGGGCCAGCAGATTGTGTAATGGCACGTCGTTGGACTCCCACATAGTCAACTACAATTTGAGTCCTAAACCCTGTGGCTTAAAACTCATGCCAGCCACGTGTGCGTATGTGCCCAAAATCCTAAGAGGAGAATGGAGGAGAAGGGATTGCAGTGTGGCCTTCCCCCGGGGTGTGATTTTTCGCGTTCTATCTCTCTCTGTCTCTGGTGAGCACATGTATCCTAGAGCAAAAATATCTCTCTAAAAAAAAAAATAAAACTGTTACAGATGAAAAGAGACAAAGGCTCAACTAGTGTGGGACTCGTCTGGCATGTTCTTGCCAGTTGCCAGTGCCAAGAACAGTGCTAAGTACGCAGTAGACACTTAGTAAATAATTTACAGTAACCATATAAATAAATATGACAAGTAAATAAACTTGTCAGGTTTTTTTTTTAATAATTTTTATTTAATTTTATAATTTATTCATTTATTTGTTTGTTTGTTTTAATTTTAATCTGACCAGAGAGAGAGAAAGTGAGAAAACAAGCCACCAGGTCCAAGACTCGAACCATAGTGGGCCATGTGGAAGTGTCCAGCTCTTTAACCACCTCACCACCTGCTGGTCCCAAGCTTGCCAGGTTTTAACAGTACTCTTAATAGTCCCTGAAAGTCATATAGTTAAATTAACAATATTGCAATACCTTATATAAGCAGAGGTCCCAACTAAATACTTTAGAAGAGACATAAAAATTTCAAGGAAGTTAAAATCTGTAAGTAACATAAGTTCATTTGACTCAGTTTTTCTCTTTTGGAAGAAAAAAAGGAACAAATAACGTAAAACAGATTAACATTGGCTTTAAAATGAGCAATAGGTGCTCCAGTGCTTGCACACTGCAAATATCTATTTCAGTGCTTTAATTCACCCTCTTTCATATCTTGCTCTATAGCCTTCTCATTCAACCTTAGTACTGGTATTTTAAATATCAAGTGATCAATAACTTGAACAAGAGGTCTCTTGATTACCAGTAACTCATTTGAAAATTATGTATACCATTTTGTGAGACAAGAAATGAGACAGAAATAGTCATCTTTTAGAAACTTTTCATTTTAAAGTGCTAGACTCCCACATAGCTGACCACAGTTCATGTCCTGGAACTGGCAGCTTAAAAATCACACCAGGGACATGTGCATGCATGTCTAAAATCCCAGGAGGAGAAGGGATAGGATCACAGATGGCCCTTCTCCTCCATTAGGAGGTGATTTTTCACTGTCCCTCTCATTGTCTCTGGCAAGTGCTGGCAGCCTATGGCAGAAACCTTTAAAAAAAAAAAAAGGGGGGAAAGAAAATAAGAATTCATTAGATAAACTATCATATTGTTATGGGACCAAAAAGGTAAAATTGACAGAGAGGAAATCAAGTCTGTTTTTCTGAAGGATGCCCCTCTCCAGCTATGGTTGATGAGACATTTTGACTAGAGGTGACGTTCCTAATTTGCCTTGTGTGTTGGTTGTTAAAAGCAGCAATGACAGAGCATCACTTGGCAGACAACTCTCATAGCCTGTGTTCAAAATGACAGGATGTAATTGATGAGAACTGACCTTGTTACTTTCTAGATATCTGTGAGAGTGATCCTCTTATTTTTCTTCCTCTTTCCTTTCCAGGAAGATGAAACCGATGGCTCTGAAGAGGTCAAAGAAACACTGGTAAGTGACAAGTCAGTGAAGCATGTTCCTTTAGGGCTCAGCCTCACTCCTGTGTATACAGTTTGAATAGAAGAGAGAAGGCCCTTTGCAGATTTGGGTTGAGAGGGAGTCTGGAAATAGCTGTTCCCAGAGATGCGGCAGGGGTTGGCTGGTGGTACTATTATGTATTCTCATGTGGTGTAACAATGCCCAGGCTCTTGAACAAGTTTCCCACATTTTTCTATGCCTGCTGCCCACCTTTAATACAGGTGAAGGCTCTTTGTTTTTTTCCTCTAGTGGTAAATTATTGGATTGTATAAAGTGCTTTGAAATCTTTTAGAAGAAAAGTGAGGTGATACCCTTTCTCTTATGGATCTACACTTCTAGAGAAAAACATAAATGTGGAGAAAGTAAAATATCAGACAGTCCATATTCATGTACTTGACTTTGAAATAGGGTGAAATCTTGGCTTCTAATAGTATGCTGACCTCTTAAGGCCTGACTTCTAGCTCTTCTCTGTAAAGAAAGGCCTTCAGCTTTCCTGAAGGTATTCCAGGCTCCCTATAAGGCATTCATCAATGACAGAAGCTGGTGGCTTTCTTTTTAGTTCTGTTTTGCAGGAAGGAAGGAATTTGTTTATAACTGAATTAATTGAAATACACATGCATTTCTATTGGAAATTATGTTTAAAAAATTCTTTTTATAGTTTGTTGGAGGTGTGTTCTCAAAATAGGTTTAATAACTCATTACTGAAAATTGACAACTAACTCATTTTTAGCAGAAGAGATAGAAATGATATCTTGTTGCTGATCTGCCTATGTTTTAGTCAAGATCCCAAACAATTGATAATAGCCTTTCAAAAGCAATGTCCTTAATGACTAATGGTGACATAGGTGAGAATTACCTACTGGGACTCCCTCAAAAGCAATGAGCTGTGTCATGTGTAAACAACCCATGGAGTTTCTTTGGGGCAGAAGTCTGTGTGTGTGTGTGTGTGTATGCACAAATAACACACTTAGCTTCTTTAAAGGGCTTGGAAAGGCTTTTGGAGACTTGAGGAGTAAACATAGGAAAGTTCCTTTGGGGAATTATGAGATACCTAAACAGAAAATCTGAGTAATAGATTATAGAGCCTTGAAATGGACCATAATCCCTGAGGGATCTAGAGGCCGTTTAAATCCATAAATGGAATTACAACAGGGAAGGTTTTGTTGTCATAGAATGTCTTTTGTCAGTGAAAATCTTTGTGTCTGTTTTCTAAACTACTTGGCACTTGAAAATCCTAGCCTAGAGCACCAAATAAGAAAAATTAAGATGGTTTTGATGCCGTACTTCCCAGAGAATTTCATTTTAGGGCTATTGACTTAGAATTACAGGAAACTCTTTATGGTTGGTAAGGAAAAGCAGAGACTATGAGGTTTTGCGTGAAAATCATTTGTCAGACTGAAAAATATTCCATTCATCCAGTCGCTTGAGGCATTTACCAGTGTTTACCATGTGTCAACTAGAGGCCAGTGAGAATCCGAGGGAAGCATAGACAGCCTATTATTTCTGCACCAGTAACTGAATGTGTTCAGGGTAGCCAGAGTTACGAGCATGGTCCAGGGGCTGGTATATGGCACCACCAGCGTGCCGAAGGGAAGGCCAATAATGGTGGGTTTGCACGGGGTGAGGCATCCTTCTGTGAAAGTCTTACATTGCTTGCTTCATAACTCCAAGTTTATTTCGGTGAAACTCTGTTTTTCTCCTCAGGCACTCTCTTCTCGAGCTAGCAGGCCTAGCCATGGCCTGGTGTGAATTGCTACAGTTTTACTCTAGGATCCTAGGACCACTCTGTCTCCCCCACCTCTGTGTCCGTCCATTGGCGGCAGAGCTGACTCAGGGCTGTGGCAGCAGATGGGCTGGGCGTTCTGTCCACATGGCACTGCTGGTGCATCTGCATGTGTGTTTTGGAGAAGCCAGGACAGTTCTTCCTTTGGTTGGTTTTGGTTCAGCAAAACTGTATCTGCCGTTGACATCACACTAGCTCCCTTCTTTCTCCTAGCCTGCTCCGTAAGAGTTGTAATACCTGTTTATTTGTTTTTTTTTTTAACATTAACTTTCTGAACCAGAGGATGACGTACTGGTTACGTCACTGGACTCCTGCGTGGTCGACTATGGTTCAAGTCCCAGACCCACGCCAGGCACGTGTGTGTGAGTGCCCAAGATCCCAGGAGGAGAATAGAAGAGAAGGGATTGTGGTGTGACTATCCCCCTTAGGGAGTGATTTGTCACTCTCTGCCTCTATGTTTCTGTCTCTCTGGTGAGTGCACACGCCCTATAACAAAAATCTGTCTTAAAAAAAAAAAAACATGAAGTTAACTCTCCCCAAGACTCTGACATCTTTTGTTGTTTTGTTTTGTTTTCAAATGGTGTGTGTGCTCACCAGAGATTGGGGGTGGGGGGGGCAGAAAAAGCACCCCCCAGTGGGGCATGGTCATACCATGATCCCTTTTCCTCCATTTTTTCAGCCTGTCAGGAGTTTGGGCACAGATGCACAGGTGCCTGGTGTGTTTTTCAAGCTGCCAGGGTCAAGATTCAGACCACAGTTGACCATGTGGGATCCGCTGTCTTAACCACTAGGCTACAGAGCTAGTCTCACATCTGTTTGCTTGTTTGTTTTTAAGTGAGATATGATTTATAATCAATAAAATTCATATATTTTAAAATGTGCTATTTGATAGGAGAATGGAAGAGAAGGGGTTGTGGTATGACTATCCCCTCAGAGGGTGATTTCTTCCTTTATTGCTCTCTCATCCTCTCCCCCCTCCCTTTCCCAGGGGAACACACATGCCCTATAGCAAAAACTAAAAAATGAAAAAAGTACTGTTTGGTGAGTTTTGACAGCTTGTATACTCCAGTATAACCGTCACCCAAATCGAAAGGTGTGTCTTTGTCATCACTTCAGGAAGTTCCTTTGTGTCTCTTTCCAGTCAACTCCGTGTCTTCAGGTGACAACCACTCTTTTGATTTCTGTCACCACAGATCAGTATTGCCTGTTCTTGAATATCATATTAATGGAATCATCCTGTAGTAATACTTCACTTTATGAATAGAAAGAAACTTCAAGGTTATTCTCTTTGTCTTTTGTCCCCAATTAGAGCTAAAACGATTCCAAATCTGTATGGATTTTTTTCCGTTCTTAAAAATTTTGAAAGAAGATTATTTGACTTCTCACCCATACATCAATGACAGTAGAATAGTTAAGAAGGCCTTTCTAGGGCTGGCAGGTGGCGTGGTGGTTAAAGAAACTGGACTTCCACATGGATGACCATGGCTCGAGTCCTGGACCTGGTGACTTGCTTGCTCTCTCTCTCTCTGATCAAAACTGGAAAATAATAATAATAAATAAAGTTAAATAAAATAATTTTGTTAAATAAAAAGGACTTTCTACTTTTTAACTGAATATATAGAACATGTGATAGAGACACTAGTCATTCATTGCTATGCTGGTGACATAGAACAAAGGAACCTGCTTAGAAGGGTGGGGACGTTGGTGGTTAAGGTGGCTGGACCCCACATGGACAACTGTGAGGTTTGGGTCCCAGACTGAGCAGCTTGGAAAACACACTGGGCATGTGTGTGTATGTGCCCAAAACCCCAAGAGGAGAATGGTGGAGAAGGGATTGCAGTGTGGCCATCCCCCCAGGGGATGATTTTTCGGTTTCTGTCTCTCACTGGCAAGCACATACACCCTGTAGCAAAAACTAAACAAATTTTAAAAACCATCCCTGTTAGTAAAGCTCTGAACCAGTGAGACTGACGGTGGATATATCATTTGACACCTTAGCATCTCCTTCACAGATGTGTTTAAAACAATTCCACTTCATCATCCACATTAGGGATATGTCAGAATAGTCTCCAGAAATCTCAATATATTCTTTATCGTGCCAAGTGGAAAAGAGGGTTATTCCAGTAATACCTGAAAATGCTTCTCTCTCTCTCTCTCTCTCTCTCTATATATATATATATATATATATATATTTTAATCCCTTCTCCTCCATTCTCCTCTCAGGATCTTGGGCATGCACGCACACGCACCCGGCGTGAGTTTTAAGCCACCAGGTCCGGGACGCGAACCACGGTCGACTACGTGGGAGTCCAGCGACATAGCCATTACGCTAACTGCTGGTTCCCAAAATTCTTCTATATTTAAGAGTGTGTTTCATGTTTTCTTTTTTTCTTAGGTTCATGTTTTCTTTGTATATTTATTCATCTTTTTATTTGTTGTGATTTTAAAACGCTGGGTCTAGGGCTCAAACTCCAGTTGGCCATGTGGGAATCTAACACCTTACCCACCATGCCACCTGCTGGCCCCAAGTTTATGTTTTTTTGTTTTGTTTTAAAACAGTAGTAATCGCATAGAGTGTTTGCTCTGGAAGGCACACATAGGTACACCATAGAAGATGATAGCAGTTTGGATTCTTTATGTATCTGTTAGTTTATTTTGCTCATGATAGAGCACCTATGTACACATGAGGGAGAGAGAAAAGTGCCTCTCATGGGGTTCGGTCGCATCACAGTCCCCTTCCTCCCATCATCCATCCTGTCAGGATCCTGGGCACGTGTGCATTCACCGGGCGTGCTTTCAGGTGGGCTGGGCCCAGGACCCTACCTGTGGTCAGCATGTGGCTTCCATTCCATAGTCCCCTACACTACCCACCGTGCCCACAGAGGCTAGCCCCTGTTTTCATTCCAGCTGCATCTTTGGCCTGCATTGAATTTCTTTTGCTTTACATTGAGTTCAAGCTACTGCCTTCTTGTGCTTCCCCGCATTTGCTCCTCTGAGACAGGCTGTCTCCTGAGCCAGTCCTGTTGTACAATTGGATTTATCACTAGAGGGCACAAGTGGTCAACAGAAGAGACGTTGAACAAGCAGAGTAGAGGCCTAATGAAACTAAGAAGACAAATTGCTTTTGTTTTAAAGTAATTGTTTAAGAACCCAGTTCAGCTTGCCTTCTCACTTTTGGTGCCATAGAATC